CCGTCCGTAGTCCTTGTTGCGAACCCTCCAGGCGTGTGTTACATAGATTACGTGAATGACTCACGTTGCATGTTACGCAGAGACCAATTTCAGGGTTTTTTTACGGCGACGATTACGAAGATGGATGTTTTGTGGGATCTTGCGGCAAGCAGTCTGGTACAAATTGACCGACGTTTCAACCTCGGTCAGTTTACACCATACTACACAGCGCAAAACATTCCCTGAGGCAACCATCTTCATACGGTATTCAAATGCGTGGAACAGATTTTTGAAAAGGTGATAATTGGTCAGATTGTCAAGTATTTCCACGTCATCTTGTAAAAACCAGAAAGTTCATTATCGTGTTCACAAAAGCCCGCTTCTGGACACAGAATCCAACCCACATTCTCATTACATCGAAAATATAACCTCCAAACAGCAGTGGTATAAAAGCTCATTCTCTCTAACTTTAAAGATAAATCTTTTCCTTGAACGACGCCCACGGACGGACTGAAGTGTCTGTTGAGATGGACACGAACTACTTCTGGGACTCGAAAAGTACAGTCATCATATGCGACGTCAAAAGAGGCTTGTCTCCGTGGAAGCAAGTTTAAGACTTCTGAAAAGAAATATGGGTGCTCTACTGCAGGAAAAAGACCAAAGCTTGGAACGGGGGCCAACAACACCGAGCTTATGTTCCCGGCAAGGCATCAGTTTTCTCTTTGCCAGAAAATTCACATTGGCTCTGGGATCCACCCAGCTTCCTGCTCGCGGTACTTTCGAAGCGCGAAGCGAACTTCCTTATGTTTCACAGGTTAAGAATGTGTTCCTCATGGCTTGGTGCTTAGTTAAGTAACATAACACGCGTGGAGTGAGTGAGAAATGTATACCAAAAAATTGTCGGGAAATCTGAACACGGCAGATCACCTAGAAAACACAAATTTCGGTGGGAAGACAATATTAAAATCGACCTTATAGGAATGCGGTGTGGAGATGTGGACTGGATCAAACTGTCTCAAGACATGGTCCAATGGCAGGCCTTTGTGAGCACTTTCAGATGCAAAAATGGCGAAGAACTTCTTAACAGCTTCCCCGTCTTTTATGAAACCCCAAGTTTCACTGACGTGTTCACAAGGGTCCGACATTGGACGCCATCCTGAGCCAGCTAAATCCAGTCCAACATCTTCACACCATTTCTCCGTTCCACCCACTCAACACTTCGACCAAGTGGTTACAATTCATTCAGATTCTGGACGAATTGGTTTGAAATCTCGGCCAAGGGACCGGTTACACTGACTGCGTCTTCGTGGATATCCTTCGTCCCACCAGTCAAATGTCGTGACACTAAATCCCGCCTCCTTTCAAATCCATTAATCGTCTCATCATTTGACATTATAGTTTTTGAGATAATTACTGCGTCGTCATACTTATTTTATATTTATTATTATTATTAGTGTTCTGTCTGACGACAGGTCCATATGAACAGGATCCTTCCATCCTTTTCTCGGACTGGGACCTGTTCATATACGTTCTTGGCAGATGATCCAGAAGTGATTTGCCATTGCCTTCTTCTGTGTGTGAATGGAGTAATTGTTGGGATGCCACGGAGGAAAACTCCGTGTTGCCTAGACCACGGCCTTGCCCAACACAAGTTATAAATTCGGGCACCGCCGGGAATCGAACCCGAGACCCCAGGATTACAAGGCCAGCGTTCTAACCGCAATATAAATTTTCATCTACGCCTTGGTCCTCCAAGTTGCCTATTTCCTTCAAGTTTTCGGATTAAAATGTGCCTATGTATCTGTATTTCCCCTCACCTAGCCCGCACTTCGTCAGGTGTAAGGTTGTGAGTATAAGCTTTGCGGGAAAATTGCCCAGAAGCAATCATGACAGAAAACATTCTGGCCGGTAAGGCTGGAATCCAAAACATGCTTTGTGTACCACGGGCAAAGCGCCTTCTAGGAACTCAATATTAGGGGCTTCGAGGGTATTAAGATTGTAGGACACTTTGGGAGAGCGGGGGTAAGAGAAATGAAGTCCGGGAATAGCTCTCCAGACGAGATGAACTCTATAAGAGGTGACCTCCGATAAGTCTTGACGGTATCACAACCCAAAACCACACTCCAGTCGTGTGCTGGAAAAATGCTCTGGGGGGCGTCGCGCAAGCCCCTTGTTAAATTCACGGCTAATTATTTTATTTGTAGTGTTCTGTCTGACGACAGGTCCATATGAACAGGATCCTTCCATCCTTTTCTCGGACTGGGACCTGTTCATATACGTTCTTGGCAGATGATCCAGAAGTGGTTTGCCATTGCCTTCTTCTGTGTGTGAATGGAGTAATTGTTGGGATGCCACGGAGAAACCGGGGAAGCCCCCGGAGGAAAACTCCGTGTTGCCTAGACAACGGCCTTGCCCAACACAAGTTATAAATTCGGGCACCGCCGGGAATCGAACCCGAGACCCCCAGGATTACAAGGCCAGCGTTCTAACCGCTAGACCACCGTGGCTAATTATACTAGATATTTATTATCGGCACAAAACACAAAATATCGAAGATTGCCACATGCGGCCCGCGGGCCCTGAGTTTTTACGTGCATAGTGTACACGATTTGAATTGGTGCCACTGCACACGTAATGTTCTAAAAAGAAATAGGCCGGTGTTGTGCCCTCTACAAGATCTGCATCACGAATGAATGTCGACACGTGAGGAGCTGTGAGTTGTATAAAACATCAGGAAACGCAAAACGGGACACCATTCTGTTGTTATCCCCGTTCTTCACGATCTCATGAATACGAAATTTCCAAAATACAACGAAACTGCCTTCGTTCGTTGGCCATTTGATGACAATGAAAAACTACGTAACTGCATGAGAAAAATGTCCTTCTACAAAGTGGAAAAAGTTTAGAAGACAAGAGAAAAAAGCTCAGAGCCCCTGAAAACTCTGAATCGGAGGTGGGAAGAGTTGAATTTTGACGTCAAATGCTCAGTAACGAATAACCAAATACGCAGAGGCAAATACTCTCAGTAACGAATAACCAAATACGCAGAAACAATTACTAAAAATAAATACAGAGCTAATACGCGATTGTACATTAATTAGAAATACGATAAACTAGCAGTAAATGAGTGGGATGAGTTAAGTAATTTGTAATCTTGTCCTCTTACGTTTTCTTTAGCTTATCGCTATCCGGATTACAACCGCTCGCAATTTTGCTCCGGGTACCTGAGAAATTACGTTTTCGACGTACAGATAAAGAGAGACAACGGACTCCCACTGCAGACGAGCGAGACAGAGGAGAGGAGATAAGACGTTGGTAGGAGACAAGAGAAAGGTTAGGTTGGTAGTGGTGGTTTCCTAGGAACTTCTTGATGGAAAACTCGTTTGGAATTCTGGGAAAGCTAAACTATTTGCTGCGAGCTGTAAAAGAAACCAAGGCAGGCTTCGCTCTTGGTGTTCGTGAGTGAGCATCGACATTATTTTGTTCTCCCTCTATCTGAAATCTCTTGTCTTTCCATTTGGCATACTCAGATCACTATATACTTTATATTTACCCCGAATCCTAGGCTACAAACGAGACAATCAGTGTCTGGAACTACTGCAATGTTTAATTTAATATATCTGAAGTATTCTTGAAGACGCTTTATACATCTACCAAACAAAGGTCTCTGTGTTTATTAATATTATCCCATCTATCCATCACTTTATGGGGTATGCACTTCCATGTACCCGAGACAGACCTTGTCCCTAGGGTACATAGGGCAGCAGCTATTTCCGGGATCCATATTATTTTTAGCAAGTGCTAAATGTATTATATAATTTTATTTTATGACAGCGTCTTTCGAACGATGTATGAAGATCCCAAAATGGCGGTCTTCTGCAGTTATCTAATGTCGTGTTCGCCCGGGATGTTGGCCAAATATTTTCTGAGCGACCTGGACAGAGTTCCTGTTGCCCCTATAACTATTGGGATTACTTATTATTATTATTATTATTAACATTAAGTGAAACGACATTATCCTTAGCCATGACGAATATGAAACATCACGCGTCATCTGTGATTGATTAATTTCCGATGGAAATAATAGGATGTACGCTCTCTGTTAATATTTCAATGCGATTGTTGTGATGGCACCAGATAAATTAACCCTTAACCTGCAAACAAACCAAGACTTTGAGTTTCGATGGCTGTACTGACATACGTCAAGATTCAAACTTATCATTGTGGACTTTGAACACTAAATTCAATGAAACAGAGTCCTTGAAACGAAAAAAAATGTCGGATGACTAGACAAGAAATTAACCGAAGGTTTATTACCGTGTTCACAAGACAGCGATTAGTACCAGTCCTGGGTTAATTGAATCAAGTTAACATACTTACATCCTATTTTTAAGATTAGTTGCTGCTAAGGGTCGATATTAGCCGACTCACGTCTACCATGAGTTGAAAAGTCACGCCCTCAATGCACCTAACCTAACTTGAAACAACCCAACCTCACCTAACCTAACCTTAACCTAACCTAACCTTAACCTTAACCTAACCTAACCTCATACAGCCAAACTTAACCTAACATTCGTATTAACATTAGACGGACTGTGATTATAAGGTTAAGGCAGGTTACGTAAGGTTATATCAGGCATGTTGAGAGCTCAGCTTTCCAACTTTTGACTCATGGTTGACAGTTGAGGGCTGATCTTGACAATATGAAGTACATTGCTCCGAAACGTTGATAACAGGTCATGTATTGATAATCAAAACCCAGAAGACTACAATCAACTTCTTCTTCCTAGTTTTCCGATCAAGAAATATATTTTCATAAGCTTTTCGGTCCCCTTGACTTTATTGTGGTTAATAACAAACATATGCTGCAGAGTTAGGATATAGGAATGGTTTGTTAATCAGTTGGCCATGGTCATTGTTGCGATAAAGAATACGTGCGAGTAAAGTAGGCCACGGAGTACCGCAGTGCGCACGAGTTGTGACTGTTGGCTTCTCCCGCCAGTTGTTCTCAGACAGCCGAGGGGTTAGGACGTCGACCGAGAACGAGTAAAAATAGAATAGTTTATGTTGATTGAAACACACACACACACGCTCGCGTGATGATGGTTTCTTGAACTCGCTTGCCACAGTTAAGAACAATAAAGTAAACTATGATTTCCAGTGATTCGTAAGTGATCCTGTAATACAGGAGATATTTAAGAAAACTCCGATAACACAAAACATACTAAGGGATCAATACTTCATACACCAGACAGATATCGCCAGAGGTTTTCATGCTTGTGGGGCGAAGTACGGGGAGGGGGAACGGAGTCGTATTTCCAAGAAATCAAAAAAGAGAAGTCTATTCCGCGCTCGTGGTGAATTGAGTAGGCAAAGGAAGGAAGGAAGGGTTACATGGAAAAATAGGTCAATGCGCATGGTTACGTATTTTTAGTGACTCAAAGCGAGGAACCGCATCCAAAAATAAATGTATGTAAGTGACGTAGTGACGAGGAAGGACCAACAGTGTGAATGAGTGATGTAATCGTTAATACCTTCCACGGTACTTCAATGCAGCGAAGTGTGAAGTAAAACACGTTCTGAATTGCAACTTTAAAACGACTTTCCCTTGAAGCTACTCTCATTAATGACGTAATATTATCCTTTCTCGCGGCCCTTACACACAGCTTCGGAGTTAACGTTTCGTTTTGAAATCAAAGTGAATCGACAGGGAATTTGGTGTCAAGGAAATGTTCAAATTTTAACGAAACATACAAGAACAATCTAAAATGTATGAGTCGTAACAATTTTTGAAATTCTACGAACATTCAGTAATTAAATCTTAGAAGTGGAAAGAACAGAACTTTGGTTGTGTGATTTTTATGAATAGTGAGGACACTCATAACAAGTGGCTAAAGTGATATCACTGCTAATTACAGAAACAAACAGCAACCATCATGCCTCCAGGTGAGTTCTTCAACTATCATGACACAAAACGTGTGATTCATTGTAATATTGGTGTTTTGTTTAAAAGGTAACTTAATTTCTCAGCAGTGACAGCAACAACGCTGAAGACACGAGATAAAAACAATTCACAACACTTCGAAAATTTTACTTTAAAAAAATAGATTGTTACACCAACCATCTTGTGACGTCAGATTCCAGAGTTTTAGCGCAGGGGACAAACGTAGTGGTTCACGGTCGTATGTGAGCTGTCGGCTACAGGAATTAGAATTAGAGTTTCCGGTCTTGGCGCAATCCATTTTATTAAATTTTTCGTCGTTCTCTCCTTATAAAAACAAATATCTCTTGAACAGGGAAACGAAAAACGCCATAAACTTGTAACAGCGAGAAAGCAGACGTGCCTCCATCTTCAGCTGCAGGCTTTTACGATTACCAAAGATTCAGTATTACCGTGTTCACAAGAAACGTACTGTACCCTACCCTGAGCCAGCTGAATGTTTAAGATTCAATTTCCTTCCTGTCATCCACTTTAACAATTTAAAGCTAGATTTAAACTCCATGTACCGCTACTTTAATGATTAGTAACTCTGGATATTGTTCTCATTATAAACAGGGATTATTACATAAATAGCACTAAGATATCAATGGAGAAGTAGTGTGTTTTCTTTTCGGTACGGACTGAATTGTTAAATAATATTTTGGGAGCTTAGGCTTTAAGGAGCTAAGATACATCACAGGTATTATATGTACTTGTACGCTAGAGGAGTGGTTTATCAACCTGGGGTACGCGTACCCCCGGGGGTACGCGAAGACATCTACGTGAAATTTAAAAAAAAAATATGATAAACACTGAATAATCAGTAAAGTAATTTATTTAATTTATTTTAGATGTGGATTATATACTATGTATAAATTGAATTATACACCAACAACTTTGGGGGTACAAAGTTGAAGAGAAATTATATCTGGGGGTACGCGGACGAAAAAGGTTGAATACCACTGCGCTAGAGTATAGACTTTGTTCCATACGTCGGTAGGGTATTACAATTTCATACCTTTTAAACATTTTTGAAAAACCATGCCTAATATAAGTTACTGATTGGTTGCTCCATTATCTTTTGCTCAAACAGACGAATAATTTCACAGAATGAAATAACAAAAAATCGTGTTATTTGAAATGAGCCAGTGGTTCGTATACTGTCGAAAACTTTGAACAACGGCCGGCCGGACAAAGGGGGTGTGTCTGCCTACACAGAAAACACTTCTAACTAGAAGTCTGTCTATCTGTTAACAACGCACTACGCAATGCTTATCTGCCGCCTTCCAGTTCTGATAAAATATTCCCTTCTCAAAGAAAACATTGTTTCAAACGTGGTTTCTTCACACTCTCAATCCAACGCCTAACTTTTTCATACATACTGATATATCGAATATGTCAACAACAGTAAAATTGTCAAATAAACACTGTTACGTGTTTTGGCTTCCTACACTCCTTGTGACTCTGGGGGTCTCTTACCTTCGCCGCGTTAATCTGTCCCTACATTCTTGTGCCATATCGCAGATCATAATGAGATGATTTTGATGCGAGTAGCCCTTAAAAGTGTAATTGCTGGGATGTTAAGTTTTCACGGAGACAAGTTTGATGTACTCTGAGAGATGCTGACCGACATTTCAGAATAGCTAATTGCGTTCATCATCAGGGCGATTTATCATCGACCTTGTGATGAAGGTACCAAGTACCACTGAAAATTCGGTAAATTTCTACCACCCTACACGGCGTAACATCCCAAAATACAACCATCTTCAGGATACAATTTGTTAATTCAGAATCTGGCTTGTTGTGATCAATCTCGAAGTCAGAGATGAATTATCTCTTCCAAGGGAATATTATAGGCCTTTCAGTTAAGATACGAGGCGATTTAAACAAAGGTGTGTAAAGGTAAGAGCTTTCTCTGCTCTCAAACTTGTTCATCATTTCATGTTATGTGTTTTTTTAAAGAATGAAATAACAATTATGTTGATTTTTGAAGCGATAACAATTTGGGGCGTGACATTGGTAGGTATATAACATAAATACTGTTAAACATAAATTTTATAGATGCCACTAAAGTTTTTTTTGGATAAACGACTTGGGTGGGTACATACTTATTCCAATTCACGGACTACTCATGGAGAAAACCTTGTTTCATTTGTTGCGTGACTCGTAGCAGAAATTTCGTTAGAAGACCTGTCAGATACATATTTGCACATTGTAATAGGCAGAAGGCATTTCAGTAATAGAAAAAAGTATTGAAGCGATAATAGTAAATGTTTGCAGGACAGATAGTAGCATTTCCATCACGTGTTTAAAAAGGAGTGGGACAGCAGATCATCGAAAATGGGACAGGTAGCCGCTTGATACAGATCATAAAATGATGAACTGTTCAGATATCAGGAACAGTTTGTATAAATAGTTGAGAAATAAGCTGCATTTATTAGATTTTTTTTAAATTCTAATTCTAATAATAATTCCGCGTGCTCCACACTTTCTGCCGCGTTTATCCACACCATTAAGAGTTCCTGGAGGAACCCACAAAATGAGGCCGGGACATGAAAATTCCCGTCGTCTCTGCCATGAACAGAATTCTGGACGTTAAATTCGTAGTCAACAACTTTCGTTACGGAAAATATGACTAGCCAAGGGTATACACTGTTAAGCCAATTAGACTTGCGATAAACACTGAATAAATATCGTATTCACTAACATATCTGCCTGGTTGTTAGCAATGCTCACTGAACTGCGTTCAACGAAACTTTTCATTAACACTTCTGAAGTTGATTAACACAGTTGCGCACGAGTGACGTAGTTACTTGTGATCTGTCAGGAGAAGAAGGAGAAGGCGCTGCTAACACAGATTGATTCTTGTCACTCCTCAAACTTGCCCTGAAGATGGAAACAGAGATAGACTTTGAAACGTTGGCACTCGTCTCAGTATTTATACGGTTGATCGACAGATAAAAATTACGTAATATTCGTGCGTCGTAAAAGTATTAAGTCTTGCACACGGATTCCAATTTCTTCTCTGAAGAACAAAACACCACCTCGAAGATGGCGTGATGACGGAGGTAACATGGACCTGAAACGTTGGTAGACTTCAACCAGATTACACGGCGCTTAAACCCACCGCCTTGGAAAGCTCAAATTCTTCATTTTAGTTTAATGTCCACCCTCAATGTCAGTTCACCTGCTCTCATCAGAAATTCCACTTTACTGACTCTAACCGTTTCACAACCGGACCCTCATTATTTAAGTGTCACTTTCTTCTGCAAGAGCCAATTTATATATATCAAATCTAAAACTTCTTGACGATGGTGAAGAGTCAATTGAATAAAAATTTTCTTGGATATTATCAATCGTCTAGTAAATATAAAACGTAAAACGACGTTTCGGAGATGGGACTCTATCTCCGTCTTCAGGGATTAGCTCTATCTAGTGGGCCCAACTGTGTAGGAACCTGAAGACGGAGATAGAGTCCCATCTCCGAAACGTCGTTTTACGTTTTATATTTACTAGACGATGGATAATATCCAAGAAAATTTTTATTCAATTGCCAATTTATATAGTCTTTGTCGTAGATTCCTCTTTATTTTATTGGCCAAAACATCTCCTAATATATCCATAATATTAAAAAGGATCTTGGGGATATAGGGTATTCGGTGTCGATTGGATTCGTGTAGCTCAGAATAGGAATCGCTCGCGTGATTTTGTGAACACGACAATGAACCTACAGGTTCCATTAAAGCGGGAAGTTTCTTGTCTAGCCGAGCGCAGTGTCATCTTCCCAAGGACTATGCCCCATGGAGTTAAAGTCGGCTGGGTAGTTAATGATTTTTAAACTTATTTACTTTCATTCCATACGTTGATAAGTAACCAAAATATTTACATTTTGAAACTTGTTGTATTATGTTCCCATTTATTATTGTTATTTTTACGCGTTTCTGTATGATAATTCCGGTCCCTTAAAGAACCCCGTCTCGTAGAAGAGGGTGGAACGAGGCTTCTACCCTGCATGGCCAGGAAACTAGTAGGTTCTGCATTCCAGTATCGTACTATTCATTGGCCCCCTCTTCAGGCTGTTTTTTTTTTGAACAAAGCGAGAGAAATTCCTGGAAGTTGCCTAAAACTGGATTGCCTGAGGCTAGCCCAGTGACGGATCTGTAAGGAACATTCTCATTGTTCCCGTTCACAAACCTCCCTCCATTTTATGCTCAACCCTCAGAGTATAACATTTTCCTGCAATAATTTACAATACACATGCTCTAACCCCAACTTGGTAAGAACATGTCAACCATAAATAATGCTACGTTCGCGGAGGAATCTTTCAGAGGACAAAGGTTTCTCAGCTGGACAAGATATTCCCTGACTTTCTTTGAACCACAAAGTTCATTACCATATTCACAGCAGCCCGCAACAGATCTGATTTTGAGCCAGATGATTTTCATACTTAATTTTCTTCTCCATAGAATTTGTGACAAAATGACACGTTTTAAGTTAGACTTCGGGATTTCATGGGCACTAGCAAGAATTGAAATGACAGTCTTCTGGGATACTCTGTACTCTGCCAAAAACTAACCAACGATTCAAATGTCCTTACTGCCTTATACGTCTGCATACCGCGATACAGTATCAGAGTCAACTTTGCATTACCTTTACTCATGCAATCATATTTTATATTATATTTATAGACTGCACTATAAAGTAAAGTAAAGTTTGTCCCACTATACGCCATGTAGGCGCTTGGGGTGAGAGGAGGTATAGCTCCTCTCTTCCTTGACCATGGCACTAGATGGGGGTGAGTGGTCAGCATCACGCCCCGGCCGGCTTTACCCCCGCGAAAGGACCCCGGTACCCATTGTAGAGGAGGCTGGGTGGGCCCCAGAGCCGGTCTGGATGCAGAGGCTAGAGGAAAAATCCTATGCCCCCGTCGGGGATCGAACCCCGGTCGTCCAGCCCGTAGCTAGTC